CCGCCTCAGTCTCCAGGAGGCCTGTCAGTTTATTGGGGTCACTGTGTTGGGACTTTGTTTTTTGAGTTCGCCCATGCCCTGTTCCAATCCAGGCCTGACTCAGGACTAACCCAGGTTCCTGGGGAGTAACAGCATACACAGATACTCTGGTGCTGGGGCTGTCTGGTGAGAATGGCGCAGGCCTACTCTAAGGGGTCTTACTTGAGCAGGGGTTGATTTGGAGGTGGTAATAGGAAAGATCAACCTGGGTCCTGTGGGGTCAAGAGGGAGAGGGAAGGGCAGAAGAGGCAGCATGGAGCTTCAGCCCCAAGCCCCAGGCTCCAGCAGCTTACTTTCCTTTTAATCAAGGATGCTGCCCACTAGCTGGATAGGCCTGCTTGGGGAACCTCAGCTCCCATCCAGAGGAGCTCAAATGGGAATGGAGTAGCACAGAGAGCAGCAGGGTAGTGGGTCGAGTTTTGTGTGGGAATACAGCATAGGTTGGCCTTTGGGACCTGGGTACCCACTATAGGCTGTTGGCACTGGTTTAGGCGGGAAAAGATGAAGGATGGGTAGTGGCAGTGAGGTGTCTCTATGAGGTCCCTATGGAAACCTTAGAAGTCCAGATGCCAGGATTTGAGGGAAAAAAAAAAAGTTGTGGCTAAGGTAAAGGCTGGGGCTTGAGATGGCCAAGGTCTTTACTCAGCACCTGGATGGGGTTCTTAGAGCCTGGATGAGAAATATGGCAGGTAGATCTCAGTGGTGAGCTTTGCTGGCGAGCACAGATTGATTGGTGAGCACAGAGGCAGATAGAGCTGGGTCCATAGCACAGGTAGAACAGCCAGAGAGGCACCTGTAGGCCACAGGTAGGGCATCAAGGACAGGGCCTGTGGCAATCTGGAGAACCCCTGAGAGACAGGGACCCCTGCAACTGGGGATCACATACCCCCAAGACCCACGAAGATGTTCGCTTGGCACCTGCTGTGAGTGGTGGCCCACCACCCAACCCTGGAATCAGGCTGCCTGGTGAGAAATGTTGCCATTTCCACTACCTGTCCTGGCCTCATTGGTTAAGTCCTGGTTGCAGTTGTACAATATGGCTGCAAATGGAGCTTGCAGGTGGCTACTGAGCCAATGAATCTAGAGAAATTTGTGGTAGGAGGCCAGAGTTGGAGTCAGGGGTCTCTTCTTGCTGAGGAAGCTTGGAGCTTCAGAGAGCCAGTAGAGGGAGCAAAGCTGGGTGACAGGGATCTGGCTTTTCTCACATGGTTAAGGTCAGTGATAGCAGGAGCTGCCAAACAGCCATGGCAAACTTGGCACTTGGAATCTGGCTTTTGAGCATTCCCTCTGGTCTCAGGACAGGTGCAGTCTTCTTTGATCCATCCAGCCCAGGTCTACTGTCCAGTGAGCTCTTTCCTTGCTGTTCCCTTGGAATCTCTCTCCGCTTGACAACTCTCTGAGCATCCTCATGTGATCAGCAGGGAAAATACTCTCACTCGGGGAAAAAAGATGTTGTGTTTAGCTACACCACTGGCAGACTGGGTTCACACAGAGCATGAAAGCGACTCTGTCTTCTGTCTCTCTACCTGTTGACACTGAGTGCAGTAATTCTCTGTTGCTGGAGACTGTGCTCTGTGCTGTAGGATGAAGGCCAGCATCCTAAGCCTCTGTCATTCTGCACCAGTAGCATCTCAGCTCCTGGTTGTGACAACCAACAGAAGCTGAAGATCGAATTGTCCCTATCTTGTGAGACTCTGCCCCAGGGGCTGCCTGGCTTGTGCAGTGGGGAGTGTTGGTAGCCTGCCAGGCAGTGGCCTTTTCCAATCATTTGTGAGCATAGCTCTTGGGTTGCAAATCGCCCTTTTACCTCCACTCACTATAGCTGGGGACCTGTTACAATCTATTGTACTTAAACAACAAAGATATCCAGAAAGACCATTATTGGAAGAAAATAGATTTTTTTTTCTTCCTCTTGGACTCTGCAATGGAAACTTCTCTGGTACTGATATTTAATTGGTTAGTGGTGGCTGTTTGTCAGTTTGCCAGCAGGTCTGTGTTAACTGCTGTCACTTGACACTGTTGAAACGTAAATGCAGAATGATTGAGTTGCCAGCACACTATTAAATCCTCTGCAAAGAGTTTGATGCACTATAGCTTTGGGCTTTTTGTGTCACTGTTGATTGATTCGAATACTAAAGAAATCCTTGGCCTGCGTAGAGGAGGCTTCTGGTAGGCAAATTGGTGGGTGTTGACCCAGGGACAATGGAGTAGCTTTCCTTTAGTTTTCCTCCTGGGAACCTCAGTTGAGTTAGCAGGTGTGGCCACTGTGAAAGCAGGGCAGACCCTTGTAGCCAACTAACCCGTGTGCAAAAGGCCAATTAAAGAGCCCAGGAAGTGAGCACTGACATCGAACCAGGTTTTGGAGTTTTCTGGCAGCTTGTGTGTTGTAAAAGAGCAGGGCATTGGCAAGAACTCCGCCTGGGATTCAGAGTGGGTGCCTCTAGCCTCCCAAGGTGGCAGATCACTTTGGCATGGGCAGGCTAACCTTAGACAATGTAACCCCCATGGTTAAACAAACAAAAACAAGGTATTATTTTATGCCCTCAAAACTGTGGGTTTCCCTATAGCTCATCTGACCTCGGAAGTGCAGCAACTCCCTTGAATATAACGCTGTCCCTGGAGAAGATGGAACCCCCAGTGGAACTGCCTCTAAGAACTGAAAAACTAAATTTGTTTAATATTCCTCTTGTTCCACTACAGGTCAGGAGTGCAGAGAAATTCTTCACCTTCTTAGAATGTTTGAGGAAGACTTTAAGTGTAACTTATTATTTATACATAACAAATTCTTAACGGCCTTAGACATTAGAAAAGCCATAGAAATTTGTGGTGGGATCCAAGAACAACCCTGATGCCCTCTTTTTTTTTTTTAAGATTTATTTATTTATTGGGAAGTCAGATATACAGAGAGGAGGAGAGACAGAGAGGAAGATCTTCCGTCCGATGATTCACTCCCCAAATGAGCGCAACGGCCGATGCTATGCCGATCCGAAGCCAGGATCCAGGAACTTCTTCCGGGTCTCCCAAAAGAAGGTTGTGTGTACAGAGCAGGAGGGCATCTCGGAGTGGAACAGGAGGATAAGAGGAGGTCTGTATCCTAGTCCCAGAGACTCCCAAGTGCTTTCGCCACAGAAGGGATGCATAATTCATCGAGGATTGTCAGTATGGACACTGAGAACCGTATCCCGAATGCCTAGGAGATCACAGGCAATATGAATGCCCTCGGAGGCTGCGAACTCTGAGGCCACTCATTTCCTATTGGATTTCCCACACGGGATGGTAGCAACCCAAAACCCTCTCACAGGGTCTGGAGATATCCATCGTAACTACAGCCAGGAAGATAAAAGGTTGTAAATCTCCTTCTGCATTCAGGAGAGCTTTCTCTGGTCCTTATCTAGTTCTAGCCTTGGCTCCCAGCCCTCTCTTAAACACTGACCATCAGGGTTGCTTGTGAGCCCCGAAATTAGTTCAGATAGAGACTAATAAAGGTCAGCTAATTGATAATCACACAGCTTGTACCTTACTGATCAGGCTTCCCATCTGGCTTTTCAGATAGACAGAGAGAGACAGACATAGATATAGAAAGGCTAGAACAGCCAGGGAAAAGGCCAATTAGCCTATAATCACTCAGCCTGTACTTACTGGTCAGGCTCCCTATTTGCTTCTCCTGGACTTTACTAGGTAGGATGTAGGGTTAAATTCTTCCTCACTCACTGGGGTGTTGGAGATTTCCCTGCTCACCTGCCTGAAACTTTTCTATTCTTCAGTTGTTAAAATGCAAAGTTCTGTAAAACCATGCTTAATCACTATATACTAGAAAGTTTAAATTGTGGTTTAATTTTCTCCCCCATAAAACTTTATCAGTTTATGACTATTAATGCTAAACAAGATGTAACTGCAATAGTTACAGGATGTGGTTAAGAACTTGCATTTTTAACGTATTGGTCACTCAGCACCATGTTTATTGACTTCATGATGTTGTTAATTTCGATGTTTCTTCCTGTTGTTGAAGTTGCATAGTGACATCTCATTGGAGGAGATGATATTCTGCTAGCTCTACTTTCAGACCAAGGATGATCTCCAAATGAAACTGTTGAATTTATCTGGACAGTGGGATGCTGGACTCTCTGCATGGTCCATACCTGCAATAAAGGAATCATGACTGAATATGATCTATATTACTGTAACAATATGGAGGAATTCAGTATGGGGGGAGGGCTTGGGGAAGGGTTGGGGGAATCCCAGAGCCTATGAAACTGTGTCATAAAATGATATAAATTTTTTTTAAAAAAGAAAAAAACTAAAAAAAAAAAAAAAGAAATTGCATTTCTAAAACAAACTGCTGTGCGCAGCAGATGTATGTATGTGTGTGTGGTTTGGTTGAGGCGAAGGTGCAGAAATGTGTGATCAACAACAGAGGGCCTACAATTGGGCGCCATGTCCCTCAACCAAGTTGTCCTTCATCTATATATGTGGGACTCTCGTGTCCTAGTGTGTGGAGTGGGTTTCACCAAATGCTGTGCAGGTCTGTCTGCCTGACTTGGAAACCTTGACCATGTCCTGAGTAGCTGTGAGGGGCAGTAGATGAGGTCAAGAAAAGTTCTTTGGATAAAATTACTGGGCACCTGGGAGATATTTATAAACACTGAGAACCTGTCCCCAGTGGAAAGTGATTTAACCCAGAGCTGCAGGTATGAACATGAGAGTAGTTCTCACATGATGCTGAAAGGTGTGAAGGTTAGGCAGCTCACTGCTGTCAGTACGCCTCAGTTCCCTCATCCTTTAGCTGAGTGAGTGGGTCGTGTGTGCCATGCCTGCCCTTTTCATTGGGCCCGTGGAGTTTCCAATCTGCTCCTTCAACGAAGACAGTGGACGCTGCTGAGTCTCCCCACTGCCCAGGAGGTTCCCCAGAAATTCAGAAGGATCATGCCAAGTAACCTTTGATTGTCTTCTTCTGCTTTCAGACTCTAACCCAGCTTCCCTACGGCAAAGCCCTCTACAGCTACGAGGGGAAGGAACCTGGAGACCTCAAGTTTAACAAAGGGGACCTCATCATTCTACGGCACAAGGTGGATGAGCACTGGTACCATGGCGAGTTGCGCGGAGCACAGGGCTTCCTCCCGGCCAGCTACATCCAGTGTGTCTGGCCCTCGTCACAGGCCCCACCCCAGGGCAAGGCACTTTACGATTTCGAGATGAAGGACAGAGATCAAGACAAAGACTGTCTGACCTTCACCAAGGTAAGGCAGGCCCTGTGGCTGCCCTGCTGGCCGTGGGTCTCTGTGTCACATGGCTTCAGCTCTTCCCAGCAAGAGCCTGCAGCCAGCCAGCCAGGAAGCAGCTTCCTGCTGTGTTTGAATCCAGGCTCTTCCATGGGGGATCTCCTCCTCCTGTACCTCCATCAATAGGTACACTGTTGCATCTCCTTCAAGGGTTTTGCTGGATGGTGTGAAGGTTGACATGTGAGCTTGAGATCCTGTGAGCCACCAGTCTCTTCCTGAGTGGATCATGGTTTTAAGCAGTAATTCTGGTAGGAGGGGAGAAAGTGCTCCCCAGACTCCTGGGGCCCCTCAAGAGGTGCTAATATTGGGAAACTGACTACAGAGACCCTGAGAGCTGGGGTCCAAGTCAGTTCCCGCCAACCCTGTGCACCAGGACAGCAGTGGCAGGCTAGGCCAGCGCGGGCCATGTATGGGGAGCGTGGGGACCCTTGGAAGGGGTCGGGCAGTGTTTTCCAGTGCAGTGGTCAGCAGAACTGAGTGGATGGCGTGACTCTTGTTTCCAGCTGCCCAGGCTTTCCCACTGATTAACTGTACCAGGTAGAGTTCATGTGCTCAGACAGTTCATCTTTACCATTCTCCAAGTGAACCCAGGGCGAGGGGGCGGCTGGAGCCTTACCTTCTGTGTAAGGTGACTGCAAGTCAGAGCTGTTATGTGATTTGCCAGTCAGTGCTCGGCAGCTCCCTGCTTCCTTCCTGCCTTCATCTGCAGTTTCTCTTCCTGCCCTCCTCCTTTTCCTCTCCCCGATCCACAGTCGTAAATTTTTGCCTAAAACCCCAGCCTCAGAGCCCGCGATGTCCCCCTTTTCCCACCCCCTTCTGCTTTCTGTCTTCCCATACAGGGCTTGCCGGTGGCACCAATTCTCCAGGCTCTACGGGAGGACCTGCTCCCCGTTTCTGAGCAAATTGGCACGTCTTGCGTGCAGCTGCTATTTATGTCTTGTTCTATTGTTCTGCCTGACAGTGAATAATCTATTTTTCATTCAGAGATTCGCCTCCCTTTTCGTGCCTTTCATCAAGGTGTTCTGATGTTAATTCCCATTGTCACCCACTGATTCAGCGACTCCCTCTCCTCCCTGTCTCTCACCAGCCTCCCATCCTCCACCTTGCCCCCGCAGCCCTATTTTTCAGGCAGACTGAATCTCTCCCCTTCTCTGCACGGTGAACACCGGGGCGTCTACTTTGAGGAGGACACCCCAGGGCCTGCTCTTCTGTCTCATGCCCACCCTGGCGACCAAGGGCAGTAATCCTCAACCTCTGAGGTCCCATCTGGGTTTTGCTAACTGCCCTAGACTCCTTTACAGTCCTCCTGTTCTAGCCACTCAGCCAAGACCCTCCTGCTGGGGTTCAGAGGAGTCTCCCGGGTGAAAGAATAGCACAGAGCCCCAGGAGCCGCTGTGCAGGTCCGGGTTCTCTCTGCACAGCACACACATCTGCCTTCCATACCCGATCCAACATGCTGAGTTGACTGGGCTTCGGCCTGGGCCCTGCCACCCAGGTCAAGGCCGGAGCACACCGGGTAAGGGAACAGAGCCCCGTCTGCACTGCTGTCCCACCCAGCTGTGTACTGCGCTGTGTCTGGGGACCCACAGACTCAGTGGTGCCCGGAGCCTCCCTCTTAGTGGAAGACAGGTGATGGGAAGGTCAAGGGAAATAAGTGTGCGAAAGACTCATCCGGAGACTGCTGAGCTGTGTAGGGTCACCTCAGGTAGATGAGGCGTTTACCTGTTTAGTGATGGGATTTCACAGGACACTTTGCAACATTCCTTGTGGGAAAGTAGCCCTCTGTTAGGCTTGACCTCATGCTGAAGTTGGCTGTGACACATGGCTGTGTCTAAGAGGCAGCTTGGCCACACAGAACTCCCTGGAAAGTGGCCCAGGGGTTAAGATTGAGGGACTAAGAGGGCCTGGGCATATCCTGTTGTGGAACCAATTACTGTCCCCAGAGAAGGCCGAGTGGGAAAGGTCCTACCACAGCCTATTTATCACTTTCCTCTTTGGAATCTGATGGGTTCGCATGAGGAATTGGGGACCCTGGGCATGAGCTCAGAGACAGCCTTGTATGACCCCCTGCTCTGCATGCCTGTAGTCATCTTTTGCCCTTTCAGGCACGGCCAGGGAGAGAGGCCAGCCATCTACAGGCTGTCGTCTGTCTCCAGAGAAGACTTCAAAGGACGAGGGTGATTCCTTGTGACTCACCCTGCAGGATGCTCTGCTCCTTGTTGCCCACAATGGATCCTTTGTATTGTTCTTACCGTTGGGAATTGACATGGATGCTTGGCCCACCACACAGGGACTTGGGCACACATTTGTACACGTGTTCCCACACTCCCATGTGCTCTCTCTCTGTGTCTCACACACACACACACTGCACATACATACACACTGAGTGGTCCTCACCTCTCCATGGATATTACAACTCAGATGACCCAGTGATTCTTGTACTTCAGCCTCGATGGCTCTTATCAGCTGGGCTTTGCTCCCAGATGGTGTGCTCGCTCTTTGGATGTGTCCCTAGGAAGCACAGGGATCTCCAGGACTCACGAAGGATGTACTTTCGCTGCAGTGGGACTGATGGCCTTAAAAAAGGCATGGGGCGGTGGAACCATAGCGAGATTTTGGTAATTGCAATTGGTTTTGAACAGTCTTGCTAAAAAAAAAAAAAAAGCAAGGATTAATCTTATTCTAAAATCAAATCCCTTGTTTTATTTGAGAAGAAAATGAATAATCACTTTTGATAAAGCTGCTTGAACAATGATGCTTTATAGTTCCTTAGTTGTTCCTGTCACGTGCAGACAATAGACTAAGAACAGGAAGAGCAGTGTCCCTGGCTTCTGAGAAGCACTCCCAAATCTGCCATCCTGGGGCTGGCACAGTGCAGTGGCCTTGCTGCCAGGCCTCGTGCCTGGCTGTGTGGCATGAGGAAGACACACAGCCTTTGTGGTCCAGGAACGAGGGGCATCTTCGGGTGAGGACACTAAGGCCCAGGCGGGGGGTGTTGAAGATTATGTGGGGTGGTCAGACGCCGAGCTGAGGTTCAGCACAAAAGGGGAGGGGATGTGTAGGCTCTGTGGTGACAGCTTCTTCTGTTTCATCTTACTCCCACTCAGACATAGGGTGAACATGCCTAATCTGCAAGACGAGGTCCAGAATGCTCCAAGGCCCTTGGTGTTAAGCCCTGACGTATGCCACCAAGGGGAAGTTCCACATTTAGATAGTTGCCATCTAATCCAACCCAACACGGCCCTTGTTAAGCCCTGACGTATGCCACCAGTGGGAAATTCCACATTTAGATAGTTGCTGTCTAATCCAACCCAATTATGTAACTATAATGTACATTTACCTCGGGCTATGTGTAAGGTGTGAGACACAAACAAATTTCATGTTTAGACATGGGTACCTTCCCTGAGCTGTCATTGTGTGTATGCAGCTGCTCCAAAGTTCAGAATCCCAAGTCCTGCCAGTCTCAAGCCTTTTCAAGAAGGATGCCCTGTGTGTGCTGGAACAAAGGTTTATTGGGTCCCTACTCTGTATCTTTCCATTTGTGAGGGTGGATGTGCTTGCTGTCTTTAATGGGCCTGGGTCAATCTTAAGAAGCTCTCTGTGAGACTCAGGATCCTAAAAGGCTGCGAGAGTTTCCCATGTAGTGCCTGGCTGATTGTGGACTCACTGTTGCATGTACTTGTGATAAGGACCAAAGAGTCTCCACATGGGCCCAAATCCCCACCTTGTTTCCACATGGGGGAACCCTGGGCTATGATAGAACAGTCCTCATTCCATACCCATAGAGCCCACCTGTAATCCTTCAGGGTCAAAGGATGCTCTGAGTTGGTAAAATCCCTTCTAAAGACACTGCTGACAGTGAGGCGGAGAGGGTGGGAGCATGGGAAGGGGAAATCCCTTAGCCCGTGGACTGTGTCATGAAAAGAAAAAAAAGACACTGCCATACTGTGTCCTGAGCCAGCCATTCAGATGTTTGTTCTGCTCATGTCACCCTAAGACCTTTGCACATGGTCTTATTCAGCTCTTGGCTGCACTCTGAACTACCGTTTCCCACAAGTGTGACAGTTCTCTCTTGTGAATTAATTCAGTCTTAATCCCAGACTATTAGCTTCTGATCCAGGGGAACAGGCTTGAGTGGATAAAAATCAAAGAGAGGCAGAATTTGGGTTCCAGAGTCAAGTAGACATGGATTCAATCAAATTCTGACATTTTTTCCCCCTTATTGTGTGGTGACTTGGGAACATTTACTTAGTCTTTGAGTCTCTGACTTAACTGTAAAATGGAGTGGGTATTAGAATTACATGAGCAAAGACATTTGAAGAACTGAGCTCAAAATAGTCATTCCAGTAAATATTTGCTATCTGGCTGCTCCTTCCTTCCTGGTTCAGGAACAGTTGCGGTTCCAACAAATCGTGCTTTTTAACTTTCATGTCAGCTAAGAATACTCACTGGAAATAAGCCTCTCGCTAAGACACTTCCTGCACCTGCATGGACAGCTGAGGCTCCAGTGCCAGCCGGCTCTGCTCCTTTTTTCCTGGTGGCTGAAGAATGCTCAGACTGGCCCAGCCATAGAAGGCTCTGTTCCTTCTGCTGAGGTCATTGAGCACCATCTCGGTCCCACTGCATTTCCCATCAGCATCTTTGCTGAGTGGATATAAAGAATGCTTTCGGGACTGAGAAGACTTGGAAACACTTACATTAAGCTCTTTGCTGTCCCGTGAACCAAGACTGAATAGTCCAGAAAAGCTGGGGATTCCTCCTTTCTGAGCACCTGCTTGGGTCTGCTCACCCTCTGATACTCAGTCAGTCCTTTTCTGGGTTCCCTGCATCGTGGATTCCTTCTCCCAGGCTGTAGTCTCCTCTCTGTTCCCGCTGTGCCAAAACTGAGGAGGAGCTTTCAAAGAAAGTGTTTGAGTTAGAGAACGAGGGAAGAAGGGCACGTGGGTGTGGACAAGATG